TAACACTATAATTAAAATGTCACCAACAGGTAATAATTTATGGAAATGATGTACCATACATTGGGAAATACAACCTACACTTACCTTCATTTTTAACTATTGTTTGTGAGCATTAATCATGGTGGTGGTTTTTGTTGTTGCTGACATACAGACAAATTGAAAGGGACTTCAGGAATTTGCAAGGTAATTACCTGAATGGCAATGTGTGACATCATCGAAAACAGCAAGTTTATTCTGATCTCTTCAGGAATCACCAATGCCATTAATAAAAAATTCCCATAAATGTAAATCAAATTTTGCCTTTTACATAGAGGCATTAAACGTAAAACATAAAAGGAAGTACCATTGAGTTTGTACAGCTGTTGAGAGCCAGAGATAGAATAAAGCAATGACTCATGAGAACATTACAAACAAGGAGAGGTTATATTTCAGAAGAAAGGTTTTAAGAAAAGGTATCTTTTCTCACCGCAGTAGCAAAGTTAAGGAGAGAATCAAATAGTGCTTTCTACAACACAGTTTTTAAGAGGGTAAACAGCAATTATCATCACTGGACGAATGAAGAAAAAAGGTGAAATACATTTTCTTCCCCACTGTGTCAATAAAACAGGGACAGCTTTACCACAAGTGGCTCAGAAAGCAGAGACTGTTAACATCATTTGACAGGGAACTGGACAAGTATTTGAAGAAGAACACAAAGAAAAGGAGAATGAAAAGCAGAAGCAGGAAAAGAGCTCTTGCACTGGTGCAAGCCCAATAGGCTCAAGTACAACACAATAAGTAATCTGTTTCCACTGAAGGCACCATTCTGACGGGGCTAACAGCAACATTCAATATAGATAATATTTTTACAAATAAACATATCAGTAATGGGCCCCTCAATAAGTGAGTAAGTGAATGCACCATATACTGTTGCATTGAGCTCAAACGTGAGGAGCATCCCACTTTTAATTCCAGTCAGTTAATGTTGGCACAACAGCAGGGTACAACAATTAGCAGCAGAATCTTGCTTTAAGGAACGAAGGTAAAGTAGGAAATATAAGTTGAGTATTTCCTATTTGGAAATATTGGCATTCCCTAGAAAACTAGGAGAGAATAATTAAGCTTGGTTGTGATTGCCTCTCCTATCAAATATATTGCCAGCACTTATTTCCTGAAGTACACGTTTAAGATTGGTTACTAGTGTAAGGTACAGAAAGACTATTAGTGTCTGCGGACATACATTCTTGTAGCAATCTTCACATTCAGGAAAAGTAAGGGTAAAACTGAGAAAATAAGGCTACGATTAGCACTATAATATACTGTCACACTTTGACTAAACTCTTTACAAGAAGAATGAATACATCTATAAATTATTAATCCATGGCAAAGCAGCATGAGCAAAGGCTTTAATGAATCCAGTATATTGCATTAACGTTGCTGTGGACAATGTCCTGGATACTGATGAAAAATAAGACAGGGAAATATGTTAAGATGCATTGCTTTGTCTGAACTGTCCTCAGTGTACAGTCTATTGGCAATCTTAGAGCATTTTGCTTTCCCGTCTACCAACTCAGAGCAACAGGTTGGACTATAAGGAATTCCTCTGTGTTGAAGTGAAGTCAATGGGCAATCTGCTTTAACTGTGGAACATTCATTGGACCTGGATTCAGACAGCTTATAACACAAAAGTTCCCCGATTCATGACTTTCTATTTGCAAGTAAAAAATTTATTACTTTCAAATGCATGAATTGTAGATGTTCACTAGAAATCACTAAACATAAGGAGCCAATCCCAATGCACGGTAGAGATTTAAGACTTAATTCAACTATATCATATTGAACAATAATTTCCTAGAAAAGATGAGATAACATAGAGGTTCATTCAAAAGTTTCTGTAACAAGAGTTGAGGGATTCTTAGGTACCAGAGAACACACAGAGGCACAAAGCAGCTTCTTGTGCCAAATGCTTAATTGGCATTTTCCCAAAGAATAGATTACAAAATTCATGAGAAATGATGAGAAAAATCTGGGGTCGTCACTTGTGAAAGTTGTAAAAGAGAGGAAACCCTGAAGAAACATATATGACATTAGGTGACATAGAAAAGTTTAATCATGATTACTTAAAATCACATTGCAAGATAAGGGGACAATTGGGAAAAGAAAAAGTTTTAACTGATGTAAGCAAGCGCTTCCTCACAGAAATAATGATTAACATGTGAAATGGTCTCTGGATAAGAAAATGAAGGCAAAATATCTTAACTTATTCAAAGAGGCATTCAGCTGCTGTGATGAGAAAATCATGGAAAGTGGGCTCAATGACCTTCTTCTACTGTACTTGCTCTTGTGCTCCTTTGTGTGATTTTTAGTTCTATTAAAGCCTGAACAAGTCTACAAAAAAAAAACTATAATCAATATACATCTCAAATCCATCACTTAATATCAATTAGAAGAGTTTGACTTTAACTGGATACCGAAAGAAAAGAATAGTGTCGAAAAGCGACAAATAAACTTAAAAGAAACCTCACAAAAGCACAAAAATTAAGTAGCCTGTGACAGATTTGTGGGCACTGATGAAAGTTTTTGCACTTGGAGGTATTGAAAGAGTAAAACTTGTTGTGATATCCAAGAGAATCAAACCTATGCTCTTTTGCAGCAATTGTAACAGATTTTTGTGGGCCTTGCCACGACAGAATCAGACTCCAACCCCACTCTCTGTCCACAGTAAAAGGAATTGTCTGACAAGGCTGTGATGCAAGAAGGAATGAACTTTCATTTATGTAGTTCCTTATCAAGTTCTGATAACGTCCCAGAGATCTCCACATCAATTAATTGCTTTTCAAGTGTGGTAACTGTTGTTATTTAGTGAAGTCATCTGAAATAGTAATAGCTAACAAGTTTACCCTGGAAATACTGATACATTTGGTAAACACTGGCCTAACTTCCAAAAAAACCATGCACTCAAAAGAAAACAGTGCTTTTGTTGCAGAAAGTGTTTTATTAGTATACAGCAACAGAAATAATGTGTTAGTAAGTCAACAAATACAGAAGAGTACAGAAAGCAAATGACAGAGGGACAGAAATTTTATGATCTTGTAAATCTAATGATACGTGGAACTAGTATGTTGATTTCCATCCACATTCTTAGCATGGTGTTAAGTATCAGATCAGATTATACTGAAGGAGTTACTAAGAGTAAAGAAGTGTCCAAACCTTTATCCATGGGTCACATACAGTCCTCAAGTCTGGGAAAACAGCTCTCAAAGCCCAGAGGTTGAATTATATTTGTGCTTATTCCTTTTATTGTCTGATGTGTCTTTTTCAACTTTGTAGGCTGAAGGTTGCGTCTAGTAGTGTTAGCCTATGGTGGATAAATTTTGTATCTGATTCAAAATTTGTTGGCACCAAGGCTGCAGAGCAAGCACGTTAGTGGTCCATGCATACTTGAAGCTTGGACACTCTTTAGGAGTAAAATAACAGCAAGGAGTTGGGAACAGACAGGAACACAAATTTATGTGTCATGACATTAGTCTGGGCAAGCAAACAACAGTGAATAAGCTGGGAATTATTACCATTCCCAGAACTATGTATCCTTAAATCTTCTTTTTCCTAGTGATGTAGCAAAGTAAAGCTTTTTTCATTCTCTTCTCTCTGAACTTCTCCAAGTGCTTGGAAATTTAAGATATTACAGTCAATCCAAAGTAGGGTTCCACTATCAAGTATTTAAAATGTCCAATACATTTTACTGCAGATTTAAAATCTAATTTAACATTCAAAAAAAAACTAACCTGTACTGTGTTGATAACTTTGACATGATGGGCAACATTGGACATGTTTTTGAACAATCTCGAATTTGAGTGGCATTATTTCCAATAAGGTGCTACTAAGTCGCTTTACTTGCGTTTTCTGAATGTCTTGCCAGTTATCAAAGCTAAGCACTGCATTCACATTGTCCCCAACAAAATGAAATAACTGGGAACTGCACATACAACCATCCCAGTAAAGTTCTCCTTGATTGTAATGAATTTGGGACACGAATCCAGAAAGTTCTGCTTTAAGTGGCTACAAGCATGTTGGCATCCTCTTACTTTGCCTCACTGGAAACTCTAACTGTTGTATCATTTTATATATGGCAACATGCATGGCACTTTGTTTTGTTGCTGCAGTGCTGTTTCATGGAAATACTTTACTACATCAATGCAAACTTATTCACCAACTACAGGAGGTATGTGGATAGGAGAAGAAAAAGAAAGGTTGATATTTAAAAACATTTACTTAAAAACTGGAAAACAAAAGCTGACAGACTGCTGGAAATCTATAACAGTTTTAATTCCCTGTGGTGAGATTTGATTAGAAGGGGATCATTTGGACTCAGCTGTCCAACATTAAAATTCATAAATGTGTTTTATGTGCACAGGATGTCTAAACATGTATTTTGATCCAAAAATCCCAATTATAATAAAAATCTAGTTATCACTTTAAGCTGCTCTACTTGTTTCAGGTGTAAAATGCGAGGTAAGCCAGCATCCCATTTACTTTCTAGCTTTAAACTTACAAATAAGCTCCTTCAGGTTTTCACATCAGAGCATGCCAGACTAATCTGGAATATCAGCATCCACATATTACCATGGTTTACAATATTGAAATACAGTGACTTCAAGGTCAGTGCAGAATACATCACAGTGAGATGCATGAAATCGGAGTCTAATTTAGCGTTGATGATGTTACGCTCACAGGTTACTCTTTAAATATGACACCAAAGGCTCTGCATGCTGCTCCATATTAATGTTCCCAAAATAGAAAAGTAATCTATGAATGTTAAATAGATGGTATCTGAATGACTGATCTAAAAAATGCATGTGGTAACTCTTCGCAATATCTCCCCGCAGAAGTGAATAGAAACTTGTTTTCCCCTTAAAAGATCATTTCAAACCTAGTCTTCCACGTTAATGAAAAGAGTATCTCTTTCGATATCGGAAATGGCACTCATTGCAGGGAGGAGGGACTGTCTCTAAGACGCCTACCTATCTTGGCTCCTTTCTTCAGGAGAGTGACCACCACTGCTGTATTGCGGCACCCCACTGCTCTGTCCAAAGGTCTCATGCCACTGTAGTCCACATGTTCAATCATTGCTCCATGATCCACAAGGTATTGCACCTGTTACCAAGTGTAAGAAAAAATATATGTCAACGGCTTAAATATTCTGGTGATTTTAGATCCAAGATCCCATTACTTTGGTCAGGAATTGAAGTAGTAAACACACCTCTGGGAGAAGGTGTGTATATATAATACATATATATAGTTTCAAAATCTTGCTAAACCTCAATTTTCATTGCAGTGTTTAGAAATTAATGGGCACAAGGGAGAGGGAGCATAAATATTTAGGTAACGACAGCAACTGGAGTGCTATAACTTCACCCCACAAACACACAAGAAATGGGGGCATACAACGGAAGAGTCACTGAACAGTATTTCACATAACTGCAGGGTCAATGGTCAAGATAGGAAGAGAGTTGACAGTTGACCATGTGCAAGTCCTGGTGTACCTGACTTACATGGGAGACATTCTAAAGTTTAAACTTCTGATGGGCAATCACCCAGCATCTGGAACCTTCCTGAAAAGTCAGCAACACTAAGTCCAAATCAGAGTCTTCAGAGTTTCCACTCACTGATCTGAATAACTACCCAGGAAATGGTAAAGGATTAAAATCTGCTATAAATCTCGGTATAAAACGCACCCCACCACCAACTCTTCCTCCGTATCCAATGACATTTTCCAACTTGACCTGATCTAGTCACCCGACAGCCACCATAACTCACCAAAATATTCCCACATGCCCAACCTGATCCCAATGATCTGACCTCACTATGTGACTTCCTGATAAAACCTCACCAACTGGTCCATCTCCAATCCGACTCCTGCCTGGCACGCCTGACTCTGTGCATAACCGACCACCTTACCCTCTTGCAATCTCATCCATCATCTGACCCAGATACCTGTTTATCCATGTGCTGCCTAGCCCAGATACCATCCCACACACTTACTGACTTAAGTCACCTCCCACCTCCTTACTCCACTCACCTACAAGGTTTCATTAAGAATCGTTAAACAACACTGACCGTGAAATAAGAATTATTAAATAAAAATGTTATTAAGCATTTTAAAAAAATACAAAAGGATAGTATTTACAATGAGTAAAAAAAAATTACATTAATTGTTTAATAAACAGAAAAAATAATAAAAAGCTGTGTAACACATGAGAAACGAGATTGAAGTTTCATTAAATTTACCAGCGCTTTTTAAATCTCTTTGCAGCCTGCTGTTGCCCTTAAGAGGTGCTCCCAGTTCTTCCAGTGCCATAGCAGCATGGCTTTGTTTCCCTTGCACTGTGTTGAAGCCTACCCAGCTTGCTATGATGGAAGGTCTAGTGAGCGGCCAGCATTGGGAAACTGGTTGCAAGAAACACGAGATAGAGGAGCAGGAAGGCTGACGTTTTGGGCCTAGACCCTTCTTCAGAAATGAAGAAGGGTCTAGGCCCGAAATGTCAGCCGTCCTGCTCCTCTGATGCTGCTTGGCCTGCTGTGTTCATCCAGCTCTACACCTTGTTATCTCAGGTTCTCCAGCATCTGCAGTTCCTACTATCTCTGTAAGAAGCATGGACAGGTTTAAGTGGGTAGCTTTTTCCTATAACTGACATCAGTCAGACGTTTTGGGTAGAAGTATCATGTTTACACCAACTGAGCCAGACTTAGGGATGGAATTTTGAAAAAAACACAAAGCTACAGTGGTGCTTTTTGCAAACCTTGCTTCTTAAAAGTCCTGAAGTCCTGTATGTACAGTACATGTTATTTGCAAAAGTCCTCTGACCCTTTCTAAATATTTTGGTTCTGAATCACTAGTTCAGAGAAAAGTGTATGAATAATATTTCCAGTCAATGTCACATGCAAGGAAAAAATAATGCATTGGCCACTACACATCTTTAGAATATTGTTACAACATCTCTTCATGTAACATACAAAAATATTTAAAGCCCCCTTACAACAGTTCTTGAATTAGGGTTTAGATGAAACAGTGAGTGCTGTTCAAGTTTCAAATTTAGATCACAGTTGCCTATTAGGCCAAGGAACTAGTTGGAAGTATTTGCTTCTACGACACTATACATAGCTAACCAGTGGCTAGAAGCGCAAAAGTACTGTTCTTTTTAATATACAAGTCTGATATTTTTGCACAGCTGAAAGGAAGTAATGGTTTTTACAATTTTACCTCATTCAATATTAAAGCAGGTTAGTAGGGCTTGAATTTTGAGAAAAACATTCTAATAATCTATAAAATGAAGTAATCTAGCCCCACTGATGGTTTCTATCTCCAATCCCTCTACTCAGGCTCAGCTGGAAGAGGAATGCAGAGAAAATTCTAGGATCTCAAAAGCAAACTACAATGAACATTTATAAAATTGAAGGTGGTTAAATTTTGCACATAGCTCAGATACTTACAACATCAGCATCACCATAAAACGCAGCAAGATCCAGAGGCGTCCGTCCATTTTTATCTGCATGGTCTGTGGCAGCACCTCTTTCTACAAGGGACTGAACCACTGGCAAGTGACCCTTCAGACATGCCCAGCTCAGGGCAGTTAATCCCTCTTTATCCATTAGTGAAAGTGCTGCTCCTGTTGAACATAGAACACACAATGCAGAGCAATTGAGAGATATGCAGCATGCTGAGAACATTTCGTCTTCTTGCACGGCCATCATTCATCATAAACAGCGCAACAGCCCTTCTTTAACTTCAGATCTGAATCACTAACATATGCTAAAAGCACCACTGACCTATTCACAGAAAGAATACTCAGATATAGTCAGAACATACTTTCTGTAGCATGTCTGAACTGGCGTCGATTATATGCCTATTTCTCAGGCCATTTGAAGAGGTGATCTGACTCATTGACTAATGGAATGTTCATAATCAACGTGTTCTACACAGTATTGCAATTTTTGTATTTCATATATAAACAAATTCAAAAGCCAGAATGAAAATTTCAAGAAAGGCTAAAAATGCAGATGCCACAACTACAGACAGTGCACTCTCCAAAGATTTAAACTGGAACGTTCCTGCCCCAACCAGTGGCAACATGGCAGGCAGGAAGGGCTTTAGAATTGTAGAATCCATGTCATGCCAGCAACATTGCTCCCTCTGGCTACTACCACAGTCACACTTAGGAGAGACTGAAAAGGTGGAATCTTGCTCCCTGGTGAAATGATGAGAACATTTCTTGTTCAGCAATCAAACGGTTCAAGTTAGAGGCGTTCTAATTGAGTTTTGCATGACAACTAATTAAATGGCCACCTCCAGGATTAGCATTCAGTTAGTTGGTGCAGGCAAGATGACCCGTTAGAAGTCCGACTGAGAACTAAGTATTTAAAGGGTTATTGGCAGCAGTACAATCAGAATGTTTTGCGCGTTGCTCATTTTCAGGCGTAAATGGTGAAACATCATGGGTGGCAGATGGAGAAGTGCACGTCACGAGGTGATGGTGGAAGCAGCATGTGCATGGAGAATGCTCTTTCTACACAATTGTAGCAGTCTGTCAGTCAACTTCAGTAAATGGTTGAATTCTAGAGAAGGTGAGCATCGTGCAGTTGGAGAATATGGATTCAATGGCTGGAAGAGATTAAAGGGAGTACCATGTATGTCTCAAATAGTAGCCAGCATTCTCCTTTCAGGCACAATACAGGTACTCCCTGCTTAAAATCACTGCATTTAGTGTTTCACTTTAATGATGGTATGTTTTCAAGACGGAAATTTTGTTGTTGGTTGTGAAATTCTTTACTGTTTACAGCAGGACATTGTAGTATCTTATTCAACTGGCAAAACCAAGCCCTCTCTGATTTGGGGCCTCTTGCATTACCATACCAGGGCCAAAGATCTGCAACAGGGACATCACCATCCATCAGAGACAACATGTGCTCAACAGCATCCACCAAGAGGCCACCACAAGGATCCACCTGAACAAAGGCCTGCAGGACACTTCAGAGCTGGAATGGGCTTATCACAGCTCCACGATAACCCTCAGGATGTTGACAGGATTGAGGTTGGCTGCAGACCACTCCCACCCAAAGTAAAGGGACCCCAGCAGCCATGAGGAGCAGCGCCATCAGAGTGAGCTGGGGATGGGACTTGGAGGCAGTGGAAATCAGCAAGAAGGGACACAATGCCCCTGCCTCCCCGTCCCCACATCCCCAAAACACACCCCCCCACACCAGATGTTTTAAGTTGCCAATGTTGGAATTCAGTCATTAAAAGTATTTTATGTCAACTTAGAGAGTATAGGTGCAATATTTTATTTTTTTCTGTTAATGGAGACCCTATAGAACCCAAATCCAGTTTCACACAGGAAGCAATGTTTCACTTAAAGTCTTTTCACCCTAAATCACTACATTCAGGAACACAACCCCGACTGAGGACATCCTGTATATGAAACCACAGAGAAAAATGTCAGCAATATGGACTTCATTGACATTTATTTGAAAAAGGGCTGGTCTAACACTCCTCATCCCACAGTAACCCTCTACCTAATATACCAACTTGTAAAGTGAACACCACACTCCTAGGAATCAGAATTTTGTCTTTTCTCATTGCAACACAAGTAGGCTTACAACCCCAAGGAGAGTATGGACTGGCATCACTGGCCATCCTGCCACCAATGGAGGAACATGCAGCAGGAATCGGCGAGGTAGCAACTGTGTGGGCTACCTTCATTGTTAAGATAGGGTGCCACAGAGACTGATTAGAAGGATGACATATCACACATGTAGCTGCCTTTGACCAGTCTGTGCAAAGTTATTTTTACCAAAATGAAAAACTTCGCGATCAGCATTTGAGCTCTCTAACATTTATATAAAGTAATGACAGTTTTTTTTTTTAAAATCTCCCACAGGAAGATTTCCGAAGGCTGTGTGAGAGATGAGAGAAGAGTCCATTGTGAGTGAAAAAGCATTACCTGCAGCAAGTTCTATTAGAAATCAACATACTCTCTGCCTGTGAAATAACAGTTGATGGGTCCAGTATCACAGATTTAGAAAAGGCTGGCATCAAATAAATAACACTTCATAAGGGAGCAGGTGCTGGACAAAGAGTCAACTAGACATCTCCCAAAAGAAGCCTGAGGAAACAGCTATATTCTCCACCTTGATACACAAGCTGAGCCTCAGAACATATAAACTAAATGGGTAATTGTTGAGCAGTGAAGGGAGTGTGCAGTGATCTGTTTAAATTCCCAGAGACAGTATGCTTCTTTTAAGGTAGAAGAATCCATCTTGGCCATAAGTGTCACACTGTCTCCAATACTGGAGCATTTTGCCAACTCAGAGTTATATGTGGCAGGCCAATGATTAGATGCAGACACCTAACAAAGCCCTATAAGTTATGGTGCTGAGGTTGAGGGACAGTGACCTCGATTCAAATGCAGCCAAATGCACACACACTTGGTCACTAAGGAAATGCAGGTCAGCTCCGAGAGGGAACAGGTAGATCGGACAGTGCAATTGGTGGCTGTCCTCAAGGCACCTCAGGTCATACTTCTTCCCTTCGGTAGAGACACAGGACCATAGGTGCCAAGGCATTGTGTACGAACCATGAACCTGTGCTTGTTGTTAAGGTACCCATTATATGAAGCAGGCTCCTAACATGTCACCTTTGTACCTCTCATCCACTAAAGGAGAGCAGATGGGTTCCTGAGGCAGGAGGCACAATGACAGGACCTGCAACACTGGCTAGGGGCCTCACTAGGAGTAATGGACGCTGCTCAGGTAGCGGCAGAATCTCAAAAGCTTGCTAAAAACTGAAAATTAAACAAAGCTATAGCTGTTGTAGCCAGCAGAGTGGAGGGGAACCATTAAAGAGAAATAGATTTGAACACAGCTGGGATTTTGTTTTAATGACTGGGCTCATTCATTGGACCAATGAGAGAACATAATGATGACCCACTGGCCTCATACTTAGAGGTAGCCTCCAAATAGCCATGGGATTTCATGCGCAGTGGGGAGTGGATGTTGGTCTAATGGAATAAAAGTGCTGGCTGCTAACCAGCAAATTAATTGGCCCAATTAGCTGCCTTCCTCCAGGAAATACGTCACCGATTCTCATGGCAATCTGTTCCTGAGAAAACCTGTCCAGAGTGGGGACAGTGTTCAGTAAGCCGTACCAACTGGTAAATATCTTGATTCCCTTGGCATCCTCCTCTCAATTGCCACCACTGTACTGGAACTACTGACTCCTGATCCCATGATTGGGCATTCACTTCTGAGTGTGCACTTCGGTGTATTTATCAATATTAGTGATAAGTGATAAACTTTTATTTCAAAGAACGATACGCTGCTCCCCAAGAAGTGCCATGATGCTGTTTATTTCCATCACATATGGAACATGGGAAAAGTAAGGGAATGAACTGAGACTCCTGGATGACAATGCCTTGTGAAGAATGTAATGGCTTGATGTCTTCTTGTGGTGATTGGCCCAATGTGCTAGAAGTGAAAGTGTGAGAGTCTACAATACAAGTGGCAGGGTATCCTATAGTTGTGGATAGCATGAGTGCAATAATGCATATACAGTCCTCAGTTGAAGTGTGCCTTGTTGAGGGCACCACAGATCTTGTTCCCATTGGAGCTTTGTTGGCTAATACTTCACAGCCAGAGCTGCCACAGCACAGGCAGATTGCTCCAGCTGCACCTCTTCTTCCTCCTCCTCCTCCGAGAATGCAGAACCAGTCACATCAACCATACTGAGGATGGGAAATGTGGTTCTCCATCTTAAGTAAAGACAATTACAAGGGTATGATACAGTCAGTTAAAGTGCATTGGGAAAATAGGTTTAAAAAAGGTAAAATGGTAGATATGTAAGAAGATTACTGCAGCGAGTAACTCGCATCTTGACTCCTCAAAGCCTGTCCGCCATCTACAAGACACATGTCAGGAGCGTGATGGAATACTCCCCACTTGCCTGGATGAGTGTAACCCCAACAACACTCAAGAAGCTTGACACCATCCAGGAACAGCAGCCCGCTTGATTGGCACCACATCCACAAGCATCCACTCCCTCCACCACCGACGCTCAGTAGCCGCAGTGTGTACTATCCACAAGATGCACTGCAGAAATTCACCAAAGATCCTCAGACAGCACCTTCCAAACCCACGACCACTTCCATTTAGAAGGACAAGGGCATCAGACATATGGGAACACCACCACCTCCAAGTTCCCCTCCAAGTCCCCCATCATCCTGACTTGGACATATATCGTCGTTCCTTCACGGTCGCTAGGTCAAAATCCTGGAATCACCACCACCTTCTCAAGGGCAACTAGGGATGGGCAAGAAATGCTGGGCCCAGCCAGCGATGCCCACATCCCACAAATGAATACACAAAAAAAAATTATTCATAATTCTCAGCAATGGTGTATGGTGTATTCTATTGAGAAAGGTGAAAATTAAGAGAATGATGCATCATCTGTCGTATCAAATTGAAAAATAAGGCATATTTAAGGCATTAAGATTATTGGCAGGCTGGACAATTGGGTTAATTTTAGAAATCAACAAAGGATAATGAAAATAAAAGAGCTATAATTTATAGTATGAAAGAAAACTAGCAAGAAACAAATAATAGAAACATCTACAAGTATTATAAATAGGAAAAGAGTAGCTAAAGTAAGCTTTTGTCCCTCAGAGAATAAGGCTGGTGAATTAATAAAGGCAAACAAAGAAATGGCAGAGACTTTGAACATGCTTTTGTACATCTTCACAGTAGAAGGCACAAAGAGCATCCTGCAAATAGTAAAAAAAAAATCAATGGGGAAAAGATACAGAAGAACTTAGAACAATCATGTTAACAACAGGAAAAGTATTAGGAAAACCAATGAGAATAAAGGCTGACAAGTTCCTCAGTCCTGATAACCTCCACCCTCGGGCTTCAAAGAGAAAGTAGATACATTGGTTATAATCTAAGAATCTCTAAATTCTGCATATTCTACAATGGATTGGAAAATGTGTAACAAGTCTATTCAAGAAAGAAGTGATACAGAATGCACTGTGCTATGGACAACATCAGTCAGCGGGAAAACACAAAAATGTATTATTAAAGCAGTAGAAAATCATAAAATTAACAGGAAGAATCAACATAGTTTGGTGAAAGGAACTGTCACTAGAGTCCTTTGATGGTTTAACAAGAAGGGATAGATAAAAGGCAACAAGTAGATGTAGCTTTTCTGATGAAGGGTCTAGGCCCGAAACGTCAGCCTCTCTGCTCCTATGATGCTGCTTGGCCTGCTGTGTTCATCCTGCCCTGCACCTTGTTGTCTCGGATTCTCCAGCATCTGCAGTTCCTACTATCTCTGAAGTAGATGTAGTATCTTTGAATTTCCAGAATGCATCTGATAAAGTGACATGTAAAATCTAGACCTAGGGGTAAGAGTCTAATAAGGAGCCTCTCACTTAAGATGATGAGAAATTTCTTCTCACAGAGAGTTATTAACCATTGGAATTCTCTTCCACAGAGAGCAGCAGAGGCTAGGTCATCGAATATATTCAAGACTGAGTTCAACAGAACTTTGAAGGTTGTCAAGAGTTATGGGGAAAGGAAGGAAAGTGGAGTTATGGTTACATGATCTTAATTAATGGCAGAGCAGGCTTGAACAGCCAACTGCTACTCCTATTTCTTATTTTCTTACAAATCAATCTGCATATGTGCAGCACTCTGAGCGAGCGCTTTGAATGGCCACATGGATGCAATCAGTTGGCTTCTGAACCTGAGGGAATCCTGCAATTCAGACAAATCCTAATCCCTCTAGGTCTGATTGGCATATTCAGGCCCTTCTCTTACACAGCATGTGTTACCTGCATTTTTCAGTTATGGATGTTGATTGTATAAGTCTCTGCATACCTGAAGTTGAAGCCTGGCAAGATCTGGAAGCAGAAATTTTCAGGGTAACTGAGACATTCATCACTTCATGCAGGGGGTCCACCTTTTATTGAGGCTTGAGGTTATCATCCAAAAGGCTGCGCATACTTCCGACCACCTCATGAGGGGTGCAGCTTTCCACTGTACTGCTCCAAAAAGTCAGGAAAGTTGAGTCGTTGCTGATATACACACACACACACACAAGGGCAACACTTTCTTCTGCCGCTGTTTTCCGGTAACATCTGAGGCTAACTGTGCCCCTCCTCTGGGATCCAACTGATCAGTGAATGCGTGGACCCCATATCTGGATATGCCATTCAATTTAGCTGGCAGTGAAGTCCATTTGGCCAGTGGCAATTTATATTAGTGCATGGCACCTGAACTGACACCCATTTGTTGATTATATCATCCATTTTAGAATGGCAGTTCCTCATCAACAAATCTCTGGCTTACGGAAGCAAGCATCCTTGCTGCTTTTACCTTTATATAGCTGACTCGATATCAATTTCAATGGACAATAGCGTCACACTGCCGAGGTGCCGATGAAGCTTTGGGTCTGTGCACTCCTCAAAGTCTTATTGGAATATAAAGATTGGGACTCACTGCCCTTTTCTCCATTCTAATTGGTCTACTGTGTCAGATGGGTAACTTTTGCGAGCAATAGCAAACAGAGGCAGGAAACATTTCCAAAGCCATTTCCTTCTGCTTGGGAAGATTGTGGCACAAGCATATCAATGAAATGGTACCATTTCTTAAGTCTCTCTCATACTTTTGTCTCAAGATGCTGCTGCATTTAGTGCTATCCTGTTGCAAAGACTAGTCTGTTGCTTGCTATTTTCCCTCTTTAATCTGATGATTTCATGTCCATTTAAGCCCTCAAGGACCTCCTGCTGTACATTCACTGTCTCTAACTTGCTGAGCATATGATCCATGTACCACTGGGAACATGCAAAAATGGCTTTTCGTTAACATCTTAAAAGTCCCAAAATGGCTGTGCATTTCACCCAAGGGGTTCTCAACTTCATTAGCAAGCCACTCCTGGGAAAGCTGGAGAGAAGTGGGCAAGCATTCAGAATACCTGCCTGAAGGCAATTTCCTTGATTTTTCCAGCATGCTTGGCTCATTTCCAATAGCCTGGAAAGCACTTAGCTTTAGTGTCCGACAACTCCAGTAAAGTCATAATTTTATAGATAAGAGGCGGTCATACTCTGGAAATCTGGAAGGGGTTGATGTTGGGTTAGCTCAAAGAGAGGTAGCTGCACAGCAAAGTTTAGGGAGTGAATTCCACAGTCTAGAGTTCAATGCACAGCCACTAATGAAGGAGTGGTTAAAATGAAGAGGCCAGAATTAGAGCAGTATCATGGGAATGGAGAATATTTCAGAGATCAAGAGAGGTGAAGCCAAGTAGGGTATTGAAAACAAGAACAAGGTTTTTAAAACTAGGCAAAGGAGGTCTATAAGGACTTGGGTATTGGATGACAGGGACATATTGCAAGTTAAGGCATAGGCAGAAGCAATTTGGAAGATTTAAAAGAAATTTTCAAGAGGGTTGTGAATCTTTGGAATTCCCTTCCTCAAAAAGGCAGAGGATGCCGAATATTTCAATATTTTTAAGGCAGAGGTAAATAGATTCTAAATTACCAAGGGGATGAATTGGGAGTGTTCAGGAACGTAGAGTTGAGGTTAAAATTGGATTTTATTGATTAGTTGAGCAGGCTGCAAGGGCTGAGTAGCCTACTCTTGTTCATGGTTTGTATATTTGTACAAGTTATTAAGTCTGTAACATTCAAGCAGGTACTGCAGTGTTTTCTTTGGAGGTCACAGCAGCAGATAACTAAGGGGAGAAGTTATGCAACATTACAGAGGTGGAATTAGCAGTTTTAGAGATGACATGGTTATGTGGTCAGAAACTCATCGTAAAGTTAAGCATGACATCAAGTTTGCTGATTCAGCCTCAGAAAGCTGCTAAGGAGATAACTCACATCAGTGACTTAGACAGTGGTTGTAGTAGGACTGCACATGATGGCTTCAGTTTTTTCCAATACTCAGTTGGAGAACATGTCTGATCATCCAACACTGATTACTGGAGAAAAAGACTGACAATGTAGAGAAGTGATGGGGAAGCAGATATGATTAGTGTTAAACCACATGCAGAAACTGACACTGTGTTTTAGGACGATGTCACCAAGTGGAAACATATGGATCTGAACTAAGAGAGGTAATGGGGCATGAGAAGGAATAGAATCACTTCGGGTGATTTCCTGACTGTGATCAAATCGATAAGAATGGACCAGGCAAATGTAGAACCATTCAGCAGATCAACCGTTTCAAAGGGCTGCAACAGGTTTAGAAGAGCATTGAGGGACAACTTACCTTTGAGATAGGGTATCACTTATGACTTTGATAAGAACTAGTTTTGAACTGAGCCAGGGTGGAAATCTGACTGGCTTTCAAACAAGGAGCTTCAGTAAAGATAGGCACTTGGGCAGCAACAACGCAAGAAATCCACTAATCTATTCCTATCTAACTAGGAGCTGAGCATATTTTGATACAAGTTAACCTTTGTGATTAACTTCCACAGCAACATTTTCTATTCTCGAAATCTGAAGAATTATGGAATGAACGATATTTCAGAATCTCAATCTCTGAAGCTAACCTTGAGTGAGCAAGAACTCCACGGTATCCAGGTGTCCCTCTGATGCTGCCATCATGAGAGGCGTTCTACCCTGTTTGTCTGCCATATTTGCATCTGCACCATGAGTTAACAGCAAATCCACGATCTGGAAACACATACAACATGAATCCATTTACTGGCAGGTATCTAAGGCAACTTTAGTAATACATTGTAAGATTTCTTACAAATAGGTGACAAGAATGCATAATTAGGAGGAATAAGCTACTCAACCCTTCAAGCTTGCTCTGCCATTTAATAAAATCATGCCTGATCTGACCACTCCACATTCCTGCCTATGCCTGATAACATTTCACCCTCTTGTTCATCAAGAAACTATCCATTTCTGCCTTAAAAAAAAATCAAAGATTACTTCCAACACCTTTTGAGGAAGAAAATTCAAAAGACTCAACTTCAATGAGAAAAGAAATTCTTATCTAGATTTACCAAGAGGAAATATCTATCCCATATCCACATTGTCAAGACCCCTTGGGATCTTGCATGTTTCAATGAAGTTGCTTCTTACTCTTCTAAACTCCAGCAGACACAAGCCCAACCTGTCTAATCTTCACTCATAAGACAATCCATCCATTCCAGGTTTTGGGCTGGTAAACCTTCTCTGAACTGCTTCCAATGCATTTCGCATCCTTTTTTAAAGAAGGAGACCAATATTATGCACTCCAAATACTGTCTCAACAACCCCACCCAGTATAACTGAAAAATAACCTCCTTACTTTTGTATTCAACACGACACTGACATAATGTGCTCACCTGCCAGTGTCCTTGTCTCACTGCACTGAACAGTGGGACAATCCCCCGTCGGTTAGACTGTGACACTGCTGCTCCTTGTTCCAACAGCAGTCTGCACACTTCCAGCTTGCCTCGCCCAGCTGCAGCAGTCAATGCTGAGAACAGATAAACACAATTTCAGAGGTAAAAGGAATTTTGGGGAACAAGGTTATTCAACCCAACAAATCTACCCACGTTTTGAAGGGTTTTAGATCCACCTCCCCATCTTCTTACACATTATCCAAATAATTGATTCTTCCTGAGGTATCTGTCTGCTTCCTGAAATATCACCTATTATCTAGTACAACAGACTTCAGGTTAATTCATTCATCTTTGAAGAAAAATGTATTGTATAACTTTGTTTTGCCCTTAACATTTTTAAAACTTGTTGTCTGTTACTCAATTTGCTTACCGCAAACATTTATACAATGGATACATTACAGTAATGATATTACTACAACACTAAACAATGGAGTCCCTAATTTAAATTTCAGCTGCATGTTTTCTGTTTGTTGCCAAAAAATCCATAAAGTTCTGACTGTTGATAACGGAGTAAAATTATGCATTTGGATGGAAAAAAATTAAACTGATAGTATTTTACATATGTCTTCATGAGAGAAGAGCATGCTGCTACTGTAGCAGGAAGACAGCAATACAGATAGGATAAAAAAGATGGGTAAAAGAAAGGTACTTGAAAAATTTGTAGACCTCAAAGTAGAAAAGTTACTCGGTACTGATGGGATACATTTTTAGATTATTAGAGAACTAAGAGTAGAAAATACAGAGATTCTGGCTCCAATCTACCAGTCCTATTTCGATTTGGGAGTGGTGTCACAGGCCTGAAGGTTTACACACTCTTGTCCCGAGAAAGGAAAGGAATAAACCCAGAAACTACAGACTAGTTAGACTACTGCTCAGTAACACAATAAATCTTAGTCTGGGACATCATTCATTTACAACTGTAAATGTGTGGGCTAATTGACTAAACACGGCAAAATATATTGACAAATTTGATTTTTTCTTTGGTAACACAGTGGAAGTGATGGATGAGCACAGTTGCAGTTGAACCTCAGATGTGGACTTTCAGAATGCACTTAAAGAACCACTTCTTAGACTTATGAGAAGTGTTAACATTTTTTGAACTAAAAGGGCAGTGGCATCATGGATACTAAACGTATAAAAGGACAAAAAGTAGACAGTCATGATGAACAGCTGTTTTTCAGATTGGGAAAACCCACAGGGTGGTATTAAGACCACTGCTTTGTCTAATACATTTAATAACTCGAAGTTGGGTATACAGGTGTAATTTCAAAGATTTCAGGTAACACAAAACTGTAATGTAGTAAACAAATGAGGAGGACAGTAACAGACAACAGGACATAGAAAGGCCGATGTAATGGAAAGTCTCATGGCAGAAAAAAAACAATGTGGACTAATGGGTTTAAAAGCTTCCTCCTGCACCATATAACAACTCAGTGATTCTGTGCAGTGTGAATTCGTATATTCTTGGGCAGGTAAAATGAGAACAAGTAATATAATTATTGGTTCAAATGTTAAAGAGGGTGCAGGAACAGAGAAATGAGGCAGTGTATAAACACAAATTAAGTTAGCTGTTTAAAAAGCAGTTAGGATTATTGTCTTTACTAATACAATCATAGACTATAAAAGTAAGACATTTTTTTAAACCTTTATAAAATACTAGTTAGGTCTTTACTGGAATATTGTACTAAAGTGTGCAGGTCAAACATTCAGAAAGATGTCATGATCCTGATGAAAATGTTTAGAAGAATGATACCAGAGTTGAGGGAATTTAGGTTGTATAAAGAAACTGAAGAGGCTTGATTTAAGAACAAAGAAGTTTAAAGTGAGATTTGATATAGAGATATTCAAAATCATGAAGGTTTTGCACTTAGAATTAAAAAGGAAAACAGTTTCCAGTGGTAGAAAGATCAATAGCCAGAACAGACAGAATTAAAGTGATCAGCAAAAGAATTAGATGCGACAGAAGTGTTTTTTTTCACACATGTACGATGATCTGGAATGCACTGCCTGAAGGGGTGTTAGGAGATGGTTCAATTTAAATAACACTGAAGGGAATACTGAAAGGGAAGAAAACAATATGGTTATGGAATACTGGACTGATTAGATAGCACTTTCAAAAAGCTGGCACGGGCATGATGGATTGAATGACGTTTTTCTGTGCTGATTTAATAAAGTTTAAGTCTGGGAAAAGTTTTAAAACTTGGACTGGCTCACTGGCTAGGTTGCCACATCGAACTTAAGGGTTGACAATTATGCAGCTTAATCAAATTCAGGGATATAATAACCCCAGCCAAGCATATCCTAGCCTCTGCAGTGTATTATAACTCAGGTAGGACCAGATCCTTGATGTAGAAAATATGCTGGGATTGTTAACTAATAAAAATTTTGAAAACCAGAATAAAATATACCTATGTTGGCCATATTATGATGTTTCTAAGTATAATTGCTGTATGCTGAAACCTAACATGGGCTGCCATCACACATTGTAATCATATTGGTTTGTTGGTCATAAAGCCAGCCTCTTCCAACAAAAATAATCGATTAACTCATCCTACAATCTTCACAGTATGGATAAACACAAAACAAGAAAAAATCCTAATGTCATTTCAAACTAAGTTCACTTTGTAGTTAACTTACAGTAACAACTGTTCAAACATTTTGCTTGGTTTTTCATGCCAGTGAAAACCTTTTACACTCTAAACAAAACCTTATATTTATATAATGGTTTTAGCACATTCTGTTGATAAACGCATTTAATTTACAAGCCACAGGGATAGATAAGGAACTATGCAGGATCTGTGAGGGTGAAATATTAGTCAGTTTTTCTCATTCAAAGTGGAACATTTTACATTTTCCAATGGCATTGAATGAGATGTTTGAGATGAAGCTAGGGATACTTTAAGAAATACAGATTTAGACAGAGAAAATTTTATTGTTGATCCTCGGTGTTTTCAGTGAAAATTTTCTGATCCTTAGGAGTGCTGAGATTGCCACCTGATCATTCTTAGCCTTTAACCTGTTGTTAAGTTTCTTGTTGCTGGATTTTAATTATAATCCAGATACAATGTGATCAGCCACTTTCTGCACCTGATGTTTCATGAAAGAATACATAAAAAGTAACACTGCTCAATAAGTCATGGGCTATGAAAATAAGCTGAAAATAAAAGAAGAGCATCAAGTCATTATGAGACTACAACTTTAAACTAGTTTTGGGGAAAATTATGGACAAAAAAAAATATTTTTCAAAGACAAAGACAGTCTGCCTATGATCTCAGTTCGTTAGAGGACATGACAGGAATGCTATTGAAATTAATGTTCGGCCTATCTACAGAAATGTATTTTTACAAAATACCGTTGCAACTCCTGCTGTATTTAAAACGGACAATTTTGTGAAGTGTATTAAGTCCATATGTTATGTCACCTGCCATTAAAATGGAAAGAATAAACAAACAAAAAATATATCAATGGTCTTCGAAGACCCTCTCATTCCTGCCTCATCTGATTACAGAGCAAGTAAAAAGCCATCGAGACACAAAACAGAAACACTCAAAAGCTAATATTTTTGATGCACTTTTTATTTAAAATACAAATAACCAAAAGTGTAATCAATTTTTTTGACGTTTTTAAACAACAAAGAAACAGATGACAAGATACAAAGAACAGAATCGGAGCAAAGCAGCAGCAACAGTATGGAGACAGGGGCACCTCAATTATTCTGTTTCTGCAAACGTGGCCTTTAAAAATGGGTATCTGCATTTCTCATTTCCAGTAATAAGGGACAGACCGGATTGGGAATCAGGCCAGGCAACCCAGGAATAGTCGAGGAGGCTGCCAGTTCCCAATGCAAGTTGGGAAAAATGACTACCTCAGGGCTTCAGAATTATGTCTAAAAATTTATATAAAATAAAATATAAAACCTACCTCAATTTGTCACTCGTCACATCTCTCTCATTCCCCTTCACCTATCACCTTGATCCACGGCATTTGTTGTCCTCTATTGATTCCCTATGCCCTTCAACTGGGATTCAATGGCCCTAATGTCTGTTATACTCCAGAAAATAATTGCATTTAAACAGAATTTAAGTCCACAGTTTTATGAAAGAGTTTTCTTTCAGTTAGCCACACTCCACTAATTTCTAGGTCCCCATATTTATACAACCAAATTAAATCTAATTAACTCGTTATTAATATATCTATCACTTGTCCCCTCATTTTTTGAAGTATCAGCCATTTTTTTTCAGACTGGTTTAGACGATAACATGTGCCCACCCTAACCTATTCACTTTTATGCTTCTCCCATGGTTCCCATATCCACTATGTTACCCAATGTCCTTCCACTATTCCAACTTTGTGGCTACTTCCACCCATCAGACTTACTCCCTTCACCTACAATCCCAATTTACATAGTGTCTGTGAGTACTCACACACACGTAATGTTGCCTACACAAAAAAAGCTCTATTTCTTAAAGATTTACAGTGCAAACATTCATCCTATGAAAAACACTCTCACTCAAAAATACACTTCGACAGGCCTTGGCAATTTTTGATAGCTTGTGACAGTTCCAAGGGATTTTTGCATCTTTTATCTACAATCTTCTCCACAGTTAATAATCCCAAAGGACATCTGCACCCCGCCTCAGCACTGCAACCCACTCCCCCCACCGACCTCAAAAGAATGTTTGACCCCCAACCTCCCAAGGTGTCCTGGGACCATAGCTAGAGGGTATTCTTAGCCCTCCAAAGGAATACCCTGGTTATCCAAAAGAAATGCACTGGGAAGAGACCTGCTCTTCCCTGGCCTAATCTCCATGCTGGATGCCAAACACCAGGGGAACCAAATGCATGTGAGAATTACAATCGTACCCTCAATCCTTTCCTCATGGACAGGAGAAATGATGGGTTACAGGAGGGGAATTAGGATTTCTAACATAGCCATTTTCTCCATTGTGGAGAATGTCAGTCAGGGCGAAAATCTGGGCCAAGGGGAAGACTAGGGCTACAGGTATGAAGGGTGCACGTAGTGACATGATGCAGGAGAAGTTTGCTAAATCTAAAAGTTCAGTTAAAATAATTCCAACTTACTTGGTTTCTAAGTGAATGTTTACAGGCACACAGACAGATATGTATCTTCTGCACTGTATGAACAGCAAGCCTATGACATAAAATAACTGAACATGCAGAAAAAAACCTGCTTACCACTGGTGCTGAAACCTAGAGGATGTAAGGGACCTAACACTAAGAGCTGCATTGTGGCCTAAAGTAAGTTTTTAAACTTGAAACCTCAAATTGAAAGCAAACTCAGATGGCTGCTGTTTTGACAATAGGAAACAGATATCTATTCCTCCCTTCACATTTTCAACTCCAGAAACAAATCTAACAGTCAGAAATAAGTTAACAGAATTCGAATATGCTTTCAGCAAACATGCAGAAGTCCTGCTTTCTCTTAGATCACAGAAATATTTCCAGCATGGGGATCCTTCATATAATCTAACTGGACAATAGTCGTGTATTTGGGGTAAGTTATTGCCTTGCGTTGTTGAGATGCAGTTGTGTAGCTGTCAAGTAACATCAGTCTATATTCCTCCAACTCCAAAAATATTTAGCAAGTTTTATCGATGCATCTTGCCACTTGCGATCTGTCGCAACTTTTTCCAGTCCTCTTATATTAACTCACGAGATGAAATCCTTTATTTGTATTTTGGATTACTTTCTACTGACTACAGATAAAGTGCATGAGATTGTCTGGTCTGCGTAGCTGTCATTTATTTCACTCCTAACATTATGCCAAGGATGCTCAAAAGAGCAACTGTGTAGAACGCTATTCTCAAAAATGTATTGGTAAAAATTTTGCGACCTAGCCTTCACAGTGCAGTGTATATCTAGTCTGGCCAATATGTACCTCTATGACAATAGCAATATTGTTGATTCTTAACTGCCTCTAGCAAGCCACTCAGTTGTACTATGAGGCTGAGAACAAAGAATGATGAGAATTCAAACAGATGTACCACTCAGCATTTATCTGGGCATTGAATTTGGGGAACAGAAAAGCAAACACAACCCAATCCTCTACACTACTATTGGGAAACGTGCAAAAATTGGGGCAGCTGTCCCACAAACTCATCGAATTATACTTATAGAATCATACATTCCGGCCATAGGCCCAGACTCCTCCATCACCATGATTCAGCATGTCTGGTTTCATCAGTAGTCCATGCCAAAATTTACCTCTATGTTTTACTTGTGTGGGGATGCCCCGTAATCATGAAAGAACTACACAGGTCGCTCACAAACTATCCCCTTTTAATACATGACTGGCCATGTGAAAAAAAATAAAAAGAACTATGTATTGAAATGTACAGACCACACAGAGCAAATAAAATTGAGGGGGATCATTGAGGGTAAGCATACGCGAGATGACAACACATTGGCCATTCAGCTGTTAGGGAATGACATTGTGAGTATTCATTATTGACTGTGGATCCTGCAAAGTCTCATCGATCAGATAAAATATAATGAAGGAAGACGTAAGAACATAAGAAATAGGAACAGGACAAGGCCATTCTGCCTCACCACTCAATGGGATCATTCTGATTGACACCCATGACAACCACTTTCCTGCCCTTTCCTCATAATCCTTGATTCTCCTACTGATGTCTGTCTATCTATCTCAGCCTTAAATATACATAGGAACTTTCCCTCTCTCGTTAGGCTTGTTTTGATGTGGTTTGGCAATTAGCTGGAATCAGCCAATTAGCTTAAACCAAGCACTTAGCGATTGAAAGCCAAGTGAATTGAAATCTGATGGTTTTGACAACCAATGCTACTGTAGGAAAATTGATATGTCTTCCAAGGTATATAAGGAGAGGGTTTTTGAAATTCGGTGCGAGAACGAACCGCCATCTGAGAAACCGGCATTTAGCTCTCACTAGAAATTGCTAAGCTCTTTAAGAAAGCACCTACTGTTCATAAAAGGTACCACAGCACTTCTAACTAAGTGTCCTCACAGAAAAACATCCCTGAAAGCCGGATCAGTGAAGAAAGGTGTTCATGACATGAGAACAGTAGAAGAAAGGCATGTAGACTTTGAGAGACTAAAGTTTTAATTTATTTTCTTATTACTTGGGTTTATATAAGTGGGACTTGTGTTTACTAGAACAGCAAACTGGTAGAATTAATTCAGTTAGGGAATAGTTGATAGTTAAGGGGAAATTGTTCGGTTGTTAGTAATTCTGTTAATTTGTTCACTGTTAGGGTTAAATAAATAAATTGTTACTTATTACTTATAAAGTGAATATCAAGGATTTTCTTTCATTTAACCTCCCCTTCTCCATAACAGATTACTCCTTTTTAACAGATTAGGCGAGGTGAGGCGAGCTTCTCTGGGTTTAATTATTAGAAGGGTACCTCTACTCCCGCTGTAAGAGATTGGGGGCTTGATGATGTTGCCCTCACTATTTTTATAATTATAATCTTTGAGTGTCAAGCCATAAACTGACTAGATATGATTTTACTTTCATGAATCTGGTTACTACTTTAAGTTTGCCAATAATAAACAAAAGGCTGGTGTTATTGGACACTATGAAGCAAAACTGCAGTATGATTTGAGAGTTGTGTGTGCATGAACTATAGAGATTAAATCTGTACTCTCTAGCTGACTTCAAATATGTATATCAATTGGTGAAAGATGCATGACAATTACCCACCCTTAATCAAATCAAAACTTAGTTTCAGCATCAGTAAATCTAATATTGAGAATACTTAGAAAAACTGAACATAAACAACACTAGTTACTAGTAACTTTCAAAGCACACAAGTATTATCCTAAGTTGAAAACAGGCTCAGGAGAAATCTGGCACTTGAAACTGAGGTTCAGTGCTCCAGGACAATACCATTTCATTGAGCCACAGAGTCATATAGAATAGATACAGGCACTGTGGCCCACCATGTCTATGCCGATCAACAAATAACAAACTACACAAATCCCATTTACTTGCACTTGGTCCATAGCCTGCTATGACCTGGCATTCCAAGCGCTTACCCAGGCACTTCTTAAATGTTGTAACAGTACCTATCTCCACCACCCTCTCAGGCAGCATGTCCCATATACCTAACACCCTTTGGGTCTCCTCTAAACCACTTACTCCTCACCTTAAATTATGCCATCTGGTCTTAAACACAGCTGCCCTGGGGCAAAGATTCTTAGAATCTACTCTGTTTGTCCCTCTCCTAATTTTGTATACTTCAATCCTCAATCTCAGCCCTCTGCTTCAAGGAGAACTGCACATAGTATTCCATTTGCCATTTTACCAATTTATTAACTCATAAATATCAGACTGTAGCCTGAGATCATCCTCTTCACTATCAACAACACCACTAAATTTCATGTCATCTGAAAACTTATCAATTACACCATCTACATTCACATTCAAGTCGTTAAACCTGTATAACAAACAGCAAGGATTCTAGCACCGATGCCGGTGGTACACCACGGGTCACAGGTATTCCAGTCATAAAACAACCCTCCAACATCACACTTTGCAAGCCAGTTTACCAATGTCACTTCGATCCCATGGGCTCTTACCTTTCGGACTAGTCTTGACCTTGTCAAAGGCCTTACCGAAATCCATGTAAACCACATCAACTTCACCACCCTCATCAATATATTTAGTCACCTTCTCAAAACATCTTAACTAAATTAGACAGGGTCTCCCTTCAGCAAATCTGTGCTGACTATCTCTACTTTTCCAAGTGTTGATTAATCCTGTCCCTCATTTTTTTTCTGAATAGTTTCCCTATCACTGATGGCCGACTAAATGGTCTATAACTATCTGGCCTATCCCTGCTGTCCTTCTTGAACAAAGGAACAACATTAACTATCCTTCAGTCATCTGGCACTTTACCAGTGGTGAGACAAGTATTAAATATCACCGCCAGAGACCCCAGGAATCTCCTCCCTTGCATCCCAAAGCAGTCTGGCATACATCTCATCTGACTATCATTCAGTGCTGACAAGGCCGACTTTTATTTTCTTTTCTTGTTCACAGGATGAGGACGTCACTGACCAAGCAGCATTTATTGCCCATCCCTAACTGCCCAGAGGGCTGTTAAGCATCAACCACATTACTGTGGGTCTGAAGTCACATGTAGGCCAGACCAGGTAAGGGTAGCAGTTTCCTCCCCTAAAAGACATTAGTGAATGAGATGGGTTTTTCCAATAATCGACAATAGTTTCATGGTCATCATTAGACTCTTAATTCCAGATTTTTATTGAATTCAAATTCCACCATCTGCTGTGGTGGGATTCGAACCCAGGTCCCCAGAGCATTATCTGGGTCTCTGAATTAACAGTCCAGTGACAATACCACCAGGCCACTGGGCTCTCCGCCTGCAGCCGCAAGTTTTGCCTCTGGCATTTAGTAACTGGGAATTCTAGTATAGATGAGGCAGTTGTAAATTTGACAATGGCATTCATGCATTTGTTAAATATGCAAAAGGTTCAAAACTGCTACAGGTTTACTATATGAATTACCATCAAAAGCAGTCCCAGGACAAGCATAAAAACACAAATGTATAGTTGTAAGATACTCAAATATTTGGGCTTCTAATTACCTGTTTCTCCCCAAAGAGTATCAAAACTGTTAATCTGTGCTCGTTCCACTTCCTCCTCATCTTTTTCTGGTAGATCTAAGAGATATGATACAATCTAAAATGGACGAAAAGAAAATAACAGAGTGACATCAGAAAAACAAAAGTTATTTGCACCTGATTTTTCAGTCATATCTTGCATTGTTTGCTTCAAAGTTATGTAGACATGAAGGACTATATCAAGACAGAACACCACAAGTTACATCGTCAGGTTAGGTATGGTTTATTGGTTAGTCGTGAGCCTGGTGGCTGGGTCCAGTCACCTTCTTGATGGCATTAGCTCATTCATCATGTGAAAAACCTGTAACTATTCAGCTTCATAAATGGCAACTGATTGTTCTGTCTGCACCTTGCCAGCTGCCCACAGATAATCAAGCATAGGCTTTTCTTTCCTATTCATTTGTGGGACATGGGCGTCACTAGCAGGCCAGTGTTTCTTGCCGATCCCTAGTCGTCCTTGAGAAGGTGGTGGTGAGCTGCCTTCTTGAACCAGTGCAGTCCACCTGTTGCCATTAGGGAGGGAATTCCAGGATTTTAACCCAGCTACAGTGAAGGAACGGTGATATATTTCCAAGTCAGGATGGTGAGTGGCTTGGAGGGGAACTTGAAGGCGGTGGTGTTCCCACATATCTGCTGCCCTTGTCCTTCTAGATGGAAATGGTCGTGGGTTTGGAAGGTGCTATCCAAGGATCTTTGGTGAATTTCTGCAGTGCATCTTGTAGATAGTACACACTGCTGCTACTGAGCATTGGTGGTGGAGGGGGTGGATGTAGTGCCAATCAAGTGGGCTGCTTTGTCCTAGACGGCGTCAAACATTTTGAGCGTTGTTGGGGCTGCACCTATCTAGGCAAGTGGAGAGTATTCCATCACACTCCTGACTTGTGCCTTGTAGATGGTGGACAGGCTTTGAGGAGTCAGAAGGTGAGTTACTTGCCATAGTATTCCTAGCTTCTGACCTGCTCTTATAGCCACTGTGTTTATGTAGTGCATCCACTTGAGTTTCCATAGGGATCAATCTTTCAATTGGCTCTCTTCAACATATATACCCATGATCACCCTCCCACAAAGTCACTATTCTTCACATATGTTGATGTGCCCCTGGCTTTTCAGGTTAGAGGTGGTCCAGGAAACACTCAAGATCCATCCCTGCAGACATCACAACCATTCCCATAGCATTAGCTGAAGCCAGAGTCCACTGATGACGTCAATTTTGAACTACAGCTCCTTCCCTAGCCACATAATTTATCAGATTACCTATAGGAAGCATTTGGAGCCAGAGGAGGTCCAAATTATTGGTTTTAAGCAACTTCTGATGACATGGCCCTATGTATCTGGGATCTCACTTGCATATCCTTCATACTATTCAGGTTTAGTGATTCTCAAAAGCTTTTAATCAAGCATTTGATGAAAGGAAATTTAACTAGGGCATTTCAAATGTGCCTATCCCAAGGTGACTGTGGTAAACCACTGCCCTCTCTCTGCAGACAGTGATTGCACAGAAGCAGAGACACACCTATGTGGAAAACGAATGAAACCATTGTTAGAGGGATTCACAGGAGCAGGATGGCATATAAGATAACTACTCAGCCCACTGTGTCTCTGTCAGTTTTTGGTAGAGCTAGCCAATTACCCTCCTTTTCGCATAAATGTATAACAAAAACAGAAATTGCTGGAGAAACTCAGTGGGTCTGGCAGCATCTGAGAGAAACAAAGTTAACATTTCAGATCTAGTTTCAGAATATTCTGAAATAGGGTCATAGAAACATAGAAGATGAGCAGGAGTAGGCCATTCAAGCCCTCAAGCCTGCTCTGCCATTCAATATGATCATGGTTGATCGACCTCAGTAATCCTGCCTTTCCTCAACATCTCTCCATCCCTTTAGCCACAGAGCTACATTTACCCCCCTGAAAACACAACATTTTGGCCTCAACGACTTTCTAGGATAAGAAATTTCTCCTCTTCTCAGTCCTAAAAATTTTATCCCTTATCCTTAAATTATTACCCCTGGTTCTGGACATCCCCCATCATCAGGAATCTCCTTCCTGCATCTACCCTGTCTAGTCCTATTAGAATTTTATAGGTTTCTTTGAGAGTTCCCCTCCACCTCATCCTTCTAAAATTGAGTGAATTCAATCCTAACCAACTCAATCTCTCTTCATACGTCAGTCCTTCCATCCCAGGAATCAATTTGGCAAACCTTTGCTGTACTCGCTCTAAAGCAAGAACATCCTTCATCAGATAAGGAGATCAAAACTGTGCAGAATATCCCAGGGGTGGCCTCACCAATCCCTGTATATCTGTAGCAAAACACCCTTTTCCAGTACTTGAATCCTCTCACTATGAGGTCCAACATATAGAGATAACAAGGTGTAGAGCTGGATGAACACAGCAGGCCAAGCAGCATCAGAGGAGCAGGAAAGCTGACGTTTCGGGCCTAGACTCTC